AGTGTCAGAATCCACCGATCCGAAGCAGTGATCCCGATCACGGCCCATCCCGTTAAAGAGTCTAGCTCCTCCTGTGGGATCTCCTGGCTACAGGTGTAGATTCTGCCTGTTAAAAGAATGAGTACATGCTTGTCCATGTGTGTGTGTGTGTGTGTGTGTGTGTCAGAGACAGGGAGGCACTGCTTGACTCAGTCTCTTCTTGGCAGCAGAGTCTCTGGCCAGACATGGGAGGCAGAGGAAAGTGTGTGAGAGCGAAAGAAGAAGGGATACAGGAAGAGAGGGGAGTGGCTTCTGTCTGTAAGGCTGGGTGTGAGTCGCCAAAGGGAGAAGAGAGGAGTGGAGGAGACAGCGCAGCAGAGAGGGAGAGCTGGATCCATCTCAGTGATTGATGCCCCTCCTGCCTGTAGTCAGATGGCTCTCTCCTCTTAGGAGGAGGAAATACTGCAGAGAGGAGGAGGCGGGCTGTGGGAGCACTGAAGGTCCTCCTGGGAGGTTGTTAGCAGGAGGGGGGAGAGGAAGGGCTTGGCCAGATATGCACACACACACTCAGAGGTAAAGGGTTCTCCTCCTGATCACTCAGTGCTGGTCAGGTTTGTCTTCCTGTGCGTCTCTTTATTTCTTCCCCTTGTTGATCCGGGCGTAGAGAGGGTCCTTCCCCTTCTGTCAACGAGAGAGAAAAACTTTATTTTTTTATGTTTGGTTAAAACCTGACATAATTTTTAATGTCTGACCTCTGCACTTCCTCTGATCATCAAAAACAATAAAAGGAGAAATCTCAAACACCAGAGTCATTAAGTCCAAAGCCGGTCTGTTCTCATGCCTAACACGGCCACTAGGTGTCACTAGCACACTGCCCCAAAGCAGACCTGCAGTCAGCTCATCCTTCACACTATAAACCCTTTCCTGTGTGTGTGTGTGTGTGTGTGTGTGTGTGTGTGTGTGTGTGTGTGTGCGTGTGTGTGTGTGTGTGTGTGTGTGTGTGTGTGTGTGTGTGTGTGCGTGTGTGTGTGTGTGTGTGTGTGCGTGCGCGAACGAGAAAGTTATTGTTTGTGTGTGTGAGTCACTGTGCACTGACATGCATATTCGCTCCCACTCCAGGCTCCCTACTGGACCAGGATGAATCAGAGGTATAAACCAGTTATGAGTCATCATGTCTGAAATTCTCCCCAACTGAGCCAGAAGACAACAGAAGATGATGGAACACCCTTCAGCCAGAGCACCAAGCCTGCTGCATTCACTGACAACGGGTCCGTTATTACCAAACACACCATTACAGACAGTCCCTCAACCCGCCACACAGCCAACACGAGTGGAGCGTTTAGAGGTTGGGCTCTAGCTGTAGGTTCTCGAAGAGGACGTGATGCTGATATTCACTGAAGAGAGAGATGATGAGAAGTTTAGAGAGGACGTTACTGCCCAAGAATCTTACACCAACCTTTCTGATGAATCTTAGGAGTGATGCAAAAAGCTAAGTCGGGGAAAATGAGAATGGGGTTTGTTTTTGTTGTGTCCTGTGGGATTTATGGAGGTTTTTGTCTATTTTCTTTTATAACTAAGTTGAAATAGATGGATAAGCTGCATGATATTACAGAATAGAAAGACATTTTAAAGAGTGCCACTGCAACTACTGCACAACACCCCCAAATTAACTTTGTATAACCTTCAAGAAAATCCACATTTTTTCATGTGGAAGTCCCATCCCAAGAAATATTGGACCAAAAACAATGCTGAAGGTCAAAGGTGAACTTTTGTTTCAGCAGTAATTAATGCTGAGTAAAAACCACCCTTAACTACCAACACGAGGAGAACAATAGAGCCTGCAACTGAAGTCTGTGGGTGTGTGGATTTCACGCTCTTTAAGGTGTGGGAAACTCATTTGAGCAACACATTTATGGTGGTCCCTGTGAGCTGTACTGGAGTGGAGCTAGGAGCTAGAAGTGAGCCACACCACAGCTGAGCGTCAGACGGCAGGATTTGGACTCTTGTTTCCTGATATTTGGACATCTCACCTTGGACTGGGTAACAGAAATGTGACTCTACCACTGACTTGCAACGTTAATGTTTTATCTCCACAAATAACACGTCTGGAGAAGCTTCTGCCACGTGGTGACAGTGCTAACGCTAACGATTAGCTTCTACTAATCAAGACGTCCTCTGATGTTTCCTGAACACTAAACCAACAACAGCCTTTGCCGTTGTGAGTCCATGAATGTTAGTGACAGTGTGATTAGATCTGTCAGGCTTTCAAATCCCAGAGTTTCACCGTCTATGTTCTATCAGAAGCTAATGCAGGAGATAAGTGTAGGAGACTATTTCATGTTCAGCTTGCATGAAAAACTCACAGTGGCTGATTATAACCAGAAATAATAATTAAATAATGGGTTTACAGTGATCCGCACCCTAAACTCTGGTTTTAAAATGAACTCACGCCACGTTTATCACTGAGACCTACTGGGCAGGAAAAGGCAAACTCTTCAGCTTTGATGTTGTATTTGTGAATGAGATAAAAAGGCGGTGGGGTAAGAGTAGTTTCCTAAAGATATGGGAGTTTTCGACAGTTCTAATGTTAGAGTGTATAATAAAAATAGCTGTAAAATCATAATATTTCAAATGTAAACAACTATGACAGGATTCTAAATTTACATTCAGGAGTTTAAGGTCCACCATTGTTTACCTTGTCTAAGCTTTAAATGAACTACAGCGATCCAAATGGGATGTGGTCTCGTCACCTGTTACACCAACATCCTCTCGTTGTCTAAAAACATCTCACAGTTTCAGCTGTTTTTGACCAAGCTGTATAATATACTGCAACCAAACTGCCCATGGGTGGACGGTCTGCTTGATCCCAGAACTGACGAGAGTGAAACATACGAGTTTCTACCCAACTTTAGGGGTGCTTCACCCCTAAAGTTGGGACCAAATTATTCTACATTGATAGCAGAATTTGTTAAATATAGTTTATGATTTGTGAAACACACACATTTTCTTTGCTTTCACAAATGTGAGAATGAAAATTTGTTCAAATATGCAAAACAGCTAAATTTATCTCGCCTGGCTGAGCACCTCCCTGGATGCTCAGCACCCCCAAACCTCTAAAAAGCTCAACTTCCAGTAATCTGCTTTCATACCTGAAGCCCGTCTATCCTCTATGGGCCTCAGGCCTTGCGGCTCGCAGGCTCCACGGCTATGGAATATTATCCCATCACACATCCGTATGGCCCCGTAGAAATCACTACTGAAAACTCTTTTTTTTTCAGGCAGGCTTTAATACCTAATGTAACCGCAAACATTTGCTTGACTACGTACTTCCTACTGCTATATTATGTAGATTGAACCTAATATGTCAATATGCAATGCATATCTTTATGATAATGATCTTTTGATTGGTTATTTATGAGTTATCTGTTGATAACTTTAACTTGAATAGTTAGTTTAGTATTTTAGCATTTTACTGTTTTCATTTATAACTTGTGTCTGTTTAACTGTTTGATTTGTAGTTTTAACTTAAAAAGTGTTTTAACCTGTAATTTTTGTTAAAGTGACAGTGAGGGTCCTGAAAGGAGCTTACAAATAGAATGTATTATTATTATTATTATTATTATTATTATTATTATCATTACCTGGAGTGAAAACAGACAAAGGTCACATAAACAGATAAAATCCATTTTTGATCAACGTCACCAAACTTTATTATAACCTGAAATAAAACATAGGTTCCTTTTTTCTTTTATAAAAATGAAGAGATCAAATTTGGTAAATGAACTCCTCAAAAATATATAAAAGTTAAATTTTAGTGTCAAAAGAAATCGATCAAGATCACTGATATTCAGGTGAAACAGGAAAAATGAGAATGTGATGTAAAAGTTATTTGCAGTAACCCATCTTAGACTGAGAGACCATCTAAAGGCCCAGGAACCCGTTGCAGGTGTTCTGGATTCATTAGCTGATTAGAGTGTGACACTTTGAGTCTAGAATATTTAATCTTTTCACATTATTCTAATAGTCTGAGATGATACATGTGGGGTTTTCATAAGCTGTTAGCCATAATCACCACAGTCATAACAAATAAAGGCTTGATATATCTAACTTCTCATTTATTAGTTTCACCTATTAAATTGAATTACTGAAATAAATGAACTTTTACACCATCATCACTCACTTAAATTTAAAAATTCCTTCAAAATCAAAAGGCTGAGGCTGGAACATCAGTTTCCTCTCGAGGCTCTGGCTTGAGTTGTAAATGTAGATGTACTGGAGGCCAGGCAGTCAGCAGAAAGTAGGGCCTGCAGCCCTGAGAAGTGACAAAGAGGCTGAGACAAGCGGTGACAGCAAGCACACACTCACGCTCAGCCTCTGCGCCACCGCTACAGCCCAGCAGTGTCACCCTGCATCATCTGAATGTCGCTGCCAGGCGAGGCCGCCTCAGCTCCATCAACCAACCAGCCCACAGAGTGAGGGGTGCCTCGACGGAGGTGTGAGTGATGTGCTGGCGAGGCACAACCTGAAGGCCAAAGTATCTGATCTGGCTGGTAAATGTGGATGTGTGTGTGTGTGTGTGTGTGTGCGTGTGTGTGTGTGTGTGTGTGTGTGTGTGTGCGTGTGTGTGCTAGGCTGCGAGACGAGGAGAGCAATGCGACATTGATCAGCGAACCGTGGAAGCTGGCCATTTCACGGCTGAGACTCGACAGCGTTCGTTGGACATGATGAGGTCACCCGAGAAAAACACTTACGCTCCCACTCGCCTGAACATATGTCTGTCAGAGCTGCATGGTGGGGGGGGGGGTGAGGGGGGGGCAACCATGGCCAAAAACACACACGCGCACGTGCAATAGGCTCAGCTATTTCCCAGACAAACACACCTGTGATCGATACCATCACCACCTGTGCTCATGTTTGAGCAAAACAAAATTCTGTGTGTGTGTGTGTGTGTGTGTGTGTGTGTGTATTTGGGAAGATGTCTAAAGTTGATGTGATTGAGGAAGTAAACGCCATATGGGATCACGTCATTGGACCACGACCAAAGCGCTCCACCGACTGCAGAAGATGAACTCCGAGCTTGTGGCTCTGACAGGCGGGTTCCAGCCAGATTCACGCTCGTTGCTCCACATCCACCTGCTGCCCTGCAGACGAGGATGGGGCCCGGTGAGGGAGCTCAGCCACCCCTCCTCCTCTTGTAGAGTGGGGAGGCACTTCAGGGCTTCTTTGGCTTTAATTAATGCCAATTATGTCGGGCTAGTCATTAATCTTGGCACCCAAGTATGAGCTGATGAAAACAAAACCATTCCATTTTCCCAGGGTGAGTGCCAGCAGCGATCATTAAGGAGGCGCTATTAAGAATTGGGTGGGTGAGGACACCAGGTTGGGAGGGAAGGATCAAAATGACTCTCTTATCTGGAGTGTGTGTGTGTGTGTGTTCTTAATAAATCAGCAGTGTCTGGTAACATGTGCCCTGCAGGAATTCCCAGCCAGCAGAGGAACACAGTAGCTTGTCTTCCTCTTTGCAGTGAAGGACCAATACACCGATAGGTTCTATAATGCAAACGCAGTCAGCATGGGCGATGACTTCACCACGCTACAACACAGCCATTATCATACTGCGCTCAAACCGCTGCAGATGAGCGGCTCGCTGAAGCGCACACGTGGTGATTGGCTGTCACATCGACTTCCCTGACAAGGTGTGAGCTATTTCTGGAACTGGGTGTGATGACAGGACACGGGGAGAGCACTGAGGGCAAGCGATGAACTCCGCACATGCTGCTTTAAAACGTGCATGCGTTCTGTTCATACCACCAGGAGATACTTACAGAACTCCACCAAACAGTCTGAGGTCACACAAAGAAGCAAGCATTCAGGCTCCAAACGCGTCATGCAGGAAGGAGAACAGTGACAGAGTGAAAAAGAAAATATTTAAAACACTGAACTGAAACGTAAAGAGATGCAGGGGGGGGGGGGGGGGGAGGAGAGGTTGAGGGGGTTCATACCTACCCTGCCCTGCTGCTATCTAGCTCCCAGCTTCTGGACTGGCCTGTTCTGGGCTGGGCTCTGTTGTCTCACTGGGGCAGGGCGACCCAGAACCACACACCTAAAGACAGGAGGAGGAGGAGGAGAGAAGTCCATGGAGGAATAGAAGAGAAGGAAACAAGGGAGAAAGAAGAAAAGGCAGAATAAATCTAAAGGAAGGACTGCAGGGCTGCTAAAGGTGTTAGCATTATGAAGGAGACATCTAAACAATTAGAGAGTGAAGAACAGAGCGTCTCTTCTCAGAAACATCATTACACATGCAGACACTCATTTACCAGAGTCTATTATAGAAGCCTCTGTGGAGCTGGCTCCTATCGATCCCCTGCTTTCTTATGGTTTTTCTAAAGTACACGCTTTTTACACCTCACCCCTCAGAGAGCAAGATGCCGCTTCCCTCCATTTGCACCGTCTTTCCTGTCCTCCTTTCCTTCCTTCGTAACCTTTCCACTGCTCTCACACAGCACAGCCACCAGTTACATGTCTGGTTGGGTTATATAAAGCGTATGTGTGTTATTTCAGCCCAGTGACATTTCCAGCAGTGTGAAAGACCTCTTTCTCCTTCAGTAATAATAGCTGGATAGCGGGCATAATGTGTCCACGCCTGTTGAGTGGAGAGCAGAAAAGAGGAGAGAAGCCTTTAAAGAAACAAAAAATAAGTAAATTAAAAAAAATAAAAACAACAAGAGGGATGGGAGGAAAAGACGCAGAAGCCTTGTTTCCTGGAAGATCACGGAGCCTACAAGGAATTATTTGAAAGATGTGAATGATGATTTTCCTCTTTTGTTTTTGCAAGTTTATTTTTTTCTGCTCTTTTCAGTATTTTTTTTACTTCGGCTAAGGTGAAGAAGAATAAATATTAATCGCCCCTGGAAGAATGAGCGAGACAGTTTGCCTCCTTCATCCCAACAGAGACCAGTCTGTCAGGTAGGAAGCAGTGATGTACGAACGTTACCTTGCTGGTATTAATAACAGCTTAACCATGTCTCTGACAGTTCCAGCAGCTAATTTAATGCTGTGTTGAACACACACACACACACACACACACACACGCGCACGCACACACACACACACACACACACACACGCACACACACACACACACACACGCGCACGCACACACACACACACACACGCACACACACACACACACACACACACACACACAAACACACACACACACACACACACACAAACACACACACACACACACACACACACAAACACACACACACACACACACACACACAAACACACACACACACGCACACAGAGCTGCTTTCTTATGCATTCCACTGCTGGTGTGCACGCAGTAACCCACGATTAATGTACATTTTCACGTGCACTGATTCAAACACACGACAGCACCGGGCCCATAATCAGCCAGAGTGATTACCTGGTCCGCCGCCGCCGCCGCCACAAAGGCGATTTATCAACAGATATGAACGCCCTGTGCGGGTGATGGCAGCATAAGCAGACATGCGGTCACTTACAGCATCTTCCTCTCCGCTGCGACTTGGACTCCCCTCGGCTTCTCCAAACGAGTCGTCTGTGGGGGGGTCAGTAGCGTCCGTGGGGGGGTCGCTGACATGAGAGGCTGATGACTTGGATGGAGAGCTCTGCCGGGGAGCCGGTGTGGGCGCTGCATGAGAGGACAGATGGGTTACACGCACAAAGAGACACTCGTCACACAGCTAGGATGGCGTGGAGCTCACGGGAGTTGGTGGACGGCGTTGTGGAGGTGACCGGCGTGAGATTCATCTGAGAAATGTCAAAGTCGTCACAGTCGTCCGTGTCCTGGGCGGTGCCCACGCGGCTGAAGTAAGTGCTGAATGCCTCTGTGGTTGCCGTTAGGCTGGGCTGCTCAACCTTCTTAGATGGCATGGCTGGAGGCTTGGCCAGCTGGAAATCCTGAAAGGACAGGACCGCTCGGTTCAGGGAAAGCTGCAGGAAGTGACTCATCTTAGTGTTTAGGTGGCCAGAGGTCACCAAAGTTCAATAATCAGCCATTAGTGATGATTTGGCCAGTCTAAAACTCAAATTCAGATTGATGTTCAGGTCTGTGAATGCATCATACCGAAGGTGCAATAAGAGAATCTGACCTTTTTATGTCAGTGAACTAATAACTAAGTCCTAATTAACATTAGCAAACATTTTTATAGCAAGAATCCACTTTTTAAATGAATTGGGGGAAAAAGTTAATTATAGTTCTTTAAAATAAATCAAAATTGACCAAAGTTGATATCATCAGGTCAGAGCTGTAACAGAACTGTAAATCTCCTAATTGGTGCATGCTCACTCATGTTTTACCTCCACATTTGATGAATATTAGTAATCTAGTCAAATTAAAATGAAGATAATTGCAGGTTTTTAATATTTTTTAATTTCTGAGATTACTATTTTTTAGCTGTTGGTAAAATCAGAGTAATTTTGACTGTTTGAAATTTATTTTCCTCAGTTTATTAATTGTTCTTTAGTAAATGAAAAATATTAAGAATACCAATAAAATCAGCTTTAATAAAGGACAAAAATTTATTTAGAAATTTAACTTGTGATGAATCAAGCAAGATCATGCTTAAACGATCCAGGAGAGGTTTTACATGGGACTGATATCGATTTTAAACCTGTAGTGTGTGTTTTCCCTTTAAGCAGTAATCACAAGAGTTCATAATGTATTAATAACAGCATCTCTAGATCCTTCTGTCCCTCTTCCACACCTTGAACAGCTCTTTGCCCATCTTCTTAGACCTCTCCCCGTGCTGCGGACTCGACGACGCTGACAGAGACGGAGCCGAGGCACCGACTCCAGCACCTGAAAGGCTCTCGCTGGCTGGAGTCACAGTCGTGACGGGGGTGAGGGTCTGGAACATGGCGGCAGGCAGAGTGCCCACAGGCTGAGCAGGGAGGTAGGCTGTGGGGGGGAAGGCTCCAGCTGCCATGGCAGCCCACTGCTGCTGGGTGGCGGGGAAGATGTTGGCCTGGCCCCAGATGAGAGGCTGTCCACCCGGGAGCACCTGGGCTACGGGACCTAGAGGGGACTGGACCCCGAAGGCCAGTGGCGGCTGGGCAGCGAACGCCTGCTGGGACCAGTGCCCCGGAGGTACCGCTCCCATGGTCACGTAACCTAGTAAAGGAAACATGTAGGATCACATCAACATTTTATCATATAAAAAAGTCACTGGGGAGTAAGAAATGATTAGAATCCCCACATCTGCTGCTTTCCTTCTCCGCAGAAGCCCACAAAGATAATAAGACATGCATCACCAGAGAGCGCTGCCCTACTTCTGCCTGCAGCTAATGCCGTGTCTCTTAATGGTCATGGGGAACTATAATAATCACCTCCAGAACGAGGCATTACGTAAAGGCAGAGCTCAACACACGCTCATTAAAATCACTCAAACTCATCAGGAGAAGGTAGTTCTTATTGCACACTCGCTGGTCCCCGGGTTCTGGCCTTCGGTGGTCAGCTACAGGAGAAGAGGTTGACATTTCACCTCGGCTGCTCTGACAAAGGCACAGAGGAAGGGAGTAAATAAAAGATCATGGAGAAAGTGTGAGATGATGTTTTTTTACCAGATCAAATTCGAGTCCTGCACATGGCAGAACATCTTTCCTCTGACCGCTGCTTCTAACTCAGCCACAGGTAAATCAGCAGCATCTGAAGCAGCCAGCTAATAGCATGTTTTATATTCCACACACAACCCACACCATCTTTTCTGCAGCCACACACCCACCCCACCCATCTGCATTTCAATTCTGTTCCATCTCTATTTATTCCAGCAACCCCTCATTTCTCTGTCCTCCGAATCCTCTGATTTGACTGCATCTCCTCGTCTCCTGTCGTGTGTGTAACCCCCGCGTGTAGCAGCGGCGTACTTAAGCAGAAAACGAGCGAGGTCTTACCCGAGGGCACAGACGCGGGATTGAAGGGAGCAAACAGTTCGGCGGGAGGCTGCAGGCCCTGTGAGGGGTCCAGGGTGTTGGCGGGGGAGGCAGGGGTCTGAGTGGGGCAGAGGTACGGTCAGGGAGAGGCAACCAAAACGAGACGGCTCACTGGAAACATAAATCTGAACTCATTAAATGTGAACTTACCGATGGAGAGGTTATGTCAGGTGGTGTGGACATGTCTCCGAAAATCTCTAATTGGCTGATATTCTGAGAATCAGAAGGAGTGAACATTGACAAAGATGACGGCTGCACTAGTCCGGAAACAGACATGAGAACCAGTTTGCTTTCTGGTGCAGCGTGCATCACAGAGCATGCAACACGAGACCAGCTAGGCATGCTACTGTTTCCTACCTGGAACCTGCGGCAGCAACACAGAGGTGAGGAGAGATGGGATAATGAGATGGAATGATCATGATGACACGCCCACCCACTGAGTCCTCACAATTGTTCCTCATCCGTTTATGATAATAAGGATTCTTTCCATAAAGCTGATTCCAGATCAGAGCAAAACCACCTCCCTAACCTCATTACTGTACCGAGTCTCCTTCAGGGCGAGTCGTTACGTTTTCCTCCTGTAGACGTCGAGCGTTGCGTCTCAGAGGGAATAACTATCAAAGAGAGCCGGCTCTCTTTTTGATCTGAATTTGTTCTGTATCTCCCCGTTTCCTTCCACAGCCTTCCCATGATCCTACTCCTCGGTATCTCGCTCATTTTCGCACATTAATGCCATCTTTAGGCCAGTGGGGAGCAAAGGAACCTATTTTTAGTTGATAAAAGAATTTAAGCCTTGAAATCATGGTTGGAGATTTGCATAAATCATGGATGCAGATATTTTTTTAACCAGATAATGAATGTTCTTGAATATCTTTCCACTTTTAGGTCACACAGACAGCCCCCCCCCCCCCCCCCCCCCCACACACACACACACAGGACTTATCAGAAAGATGGATCTGCGATCATGCTTTTGAGCAGAGAAGTTAGTTTTCTGCCTGTTTGCAGACAACTGGGAAAGATAAACGAATCTAAGACAGATAATGTCACATCTGCAGTGACTAACAACACGGAGAGATTAAATTCACAAAAACACACTTTAAGATGCCGTTTTCCCACGTGGGGTAGAATAATCTCACCTACTTGTTGCTGAATATGAGCTTTTTCAACAACAGAAAGTTCCAACAATGATTAAATGCCACTGCACCGAGGCGAGCGTCGCAGCTTCACACTAAGTTGGACATCTATAGACTTTCTGTCCACCGCTGCTTCACGCAGTTCAATAAGTTCTTTATGTTTGCGGCGGAGGGGCGTTGAGGTCGGCTCGCCGTGATGATGTCAGAGTATTATGAGTGTTTTATTAACACGTCGCGGGGAGACAAACGTCTGTTTCTGCAGCAGTTTCTTCCATGCAGGTGTGAACACAAGAGTGCACCACTAACGTATTCCAACTCACTCCTGGTTGAACACGGTTGCTATAGAAACAGTGAAGGTGCATGTTTTATTCATAAATGACAGAGGTCAACAGCTGTGGTCACTTTAGACTAGAGGAGAACAGGAGGTGCAGCAGAGATCAGGAAGTGGAGACAAAAGCCCATCTGGGGACATGACTAAAGGAGTAGTTCATGTAGGGAGACGACTAACCTTCACGACCGTGAGATCTCTTTAAAAACAAACAAAAAACAACACCTGCTCGTATGTTTGCATAGCTCCTTACCTGAGTCACTACATCCAGGTCTAAGTCTATCAGATCTGCAACTGCCTGCTGCTTCTGCTGCTGCTCTCTCGGCTCTCGATGGAGAGGTTGTTCATGATAATGATGATGGTGGTGGTGGTGGTGGGGGGTGTTTTCATGTCCATTCTGCAATCCAAACCCCAGTGTTAGATGGCAGGTGGGATGGCACAGTTCTCTCACACACACACACGTTAGTTAATCCTCACACACTCAAAGACAGAAGAAAAGAGTGGAGAACTCTCAGACTGGTGCTGCACTCCAGCTGCAGACAGAAGGGGCCCAAATAGCCTTTTTGCACATATATGTGACCTATTTCAGATTAAATCCATGACCTTCTAAGTAGCACAACCCAGCTTTGTTCAAAGTGACGTCAGTCTGAACAGTTGACTTTACCATCACTGAAATGTGACAGATGTCAAAATCCAGCATGGGAGGTGATGGCTGACATGTGCAGCATCCATATTTACTTCATGTGGCTGGGATGCAGCTTAACAGGGGCAGACTGCTCACACTGGAGTGTGCTGGCAGTCACATTTGCATTATTATGTGGACAACCATGCAAAAGTATCAGATCTCAGAACAAACATCCGAGCGGCCGATTAAGACCTTACTTTCAAAACCAAGATAAAACCTTTGAACTCTTAATTATTTGAGTTATTTGAGACACAGCGATATCAGCAGATGGGCCTTGGAGCATCTCTGCCGCAGCCCCACCAGGAACCAAGCCAGTTAAGGACAGAGAAGCAGGTAGACACACAAACAGAAGCCGGATGACCATCATTCCAGAAAGAGCGCTGTAGGGAACGTTTGTTACAGAGAAGAAGAGCTGCTGCTGCTGCTGCTGCGGTAAACTAAACACATGATGCTTCCTCTTCATCTGAACTTCCTGTGAAACGGTTTTCAGCTTCACCAGAATGACGACAGCGTCCCCCATCCCTCTCTGCAGCATTGGCACAATGTGCAGGCTGATCTGGCAAGGCCACAGCAATATTTGCTGCAGAACAATATTATTGAGTGTGGTACCTTCATTGGATGAAAGCATGAGATATGGCCATCATTAGATGACACAGAGAAACAGTAACACATGGCCCCGCAGTAATCAGCTCTAAAAGCACGGCTCATTTTTCCACTGAAAGTTTTTCACCTCCTAATTGTTCATTTTAATCTAGTGGATGAAACACATGAATCTGTAGGTGTGTGTGTGTGTGTGTGTTTTCTCTAACTACAGCTACTGAATCACACAGTATCAGCTATTCCTGGTGATGGCTGCAGTCTGCAGCTGACCAGCCCTCGATTTGTCCTTCTGTCTTCACTCTCTCTGTGTCTCATCCTGCCAATTATCCCTTTGTGCCCATTAGACGCTCTCACTATCTCTTTGCCCAGCCCAGAGTCCTCATCAGTGCAGCCACAACCTATAAATTAGCCATCTCCAGGGAAACGGTAATTACCTGTGCACATGTGTTCTGCATGCAATTAATGCATCCCCTTTAATTAACACCACCTTGCTGATTCCCTGACGTGTGACCGATCGTGCTGGCGAGCAGCGTAAATACCGTCGACCGGTCACAACACAACTTCAAACAACAAGAAAAAAAAATCACTTTTAAAGATACGAACGAAACTGCCGGCAACTCCAACTCCTCCCAGAGTTCATGAATAAATAACGTGTGTCAGAAAGAAATGAGTCAGGAACATGAGGTGATCCAGACTCAGCTCTCCGTCGTACACACAAAGTTAACCCGACCTACACCACACGTGCATGCTAACCTTTGCTTAAACGCCAAAGCTAAACCAACCCCGAGTGAAATTTATCCCAGATCACATGTCGGTAATCCAGTGTTTGAGACGAGTTGATGTGTTTGCCCTGTGGAAATGTGTTGACCTCTACATGTGGAGTCTACGGCGGCGGCTTCTGTTGATTCTACAGACTCTCTCAGGTCTTACAAGATCAAGAGCTCAGTAGATTGGAATGGCCTTTTGGGTGGATGTGTGTGTGTGTTTTATTGATTTGCCATCGTTTAAGAAGGTGACAGGGTAAACAGCCGAGGAGCCTGCTGTGAACAGGAGGTCACATTTGAGCTGATGGGATCATTTCATCCCAGGTGTGTTGTGCACACATACACAGATTTCATCTAATGCCACTGTGGCTCCCGCTGAGAGGACAGGGAAATTCTTCCGAGAGTGAAAACCGTGGTCACGAGCCAGCAGCTTCCTCCGGTCACCCTCGGCTCCAATATCTGGCCGGGACATACTTCAATAGTACAGCTGGGCTGAACAATAGCAGTAAAACATTACAATTGTGTGGCTATTGCATCCCATCCATCATCAAGATCAAATGAACACTCAGGATAGAGCAGGTCTGTCTGATAGCCATCTTCATTACTGGCATACACTTTTTGTCTGCAGTTTATTGCAATCCCTTGATATCGCACACGCTGATAATGAGGAGAGAATACACTTTGATTTACTGCGGAGCTCCTGTTGGCAACAGGTTCATGTCCTGCAGTCAACATGTTTGGTGCCGGCTATCATCCATCCATGTTCTATTGCAAAAACATGCAATGCAACACTGTGAGGGCAGAAAGTAAAAGCTGTGGCTGGCATCACTGGCTGAATGAGCACACACACTCACATGGAAGAGGACCACAGCATCAGTGAGATGAGATGAGATTTATCTCAAAATCAAGTTAAAGAATCTTCAAAATGTATCAGAAGTTGTTTGACCTGAAAAGGAATCTCATATCTCTAATCTGTTCCTATCATCCCGGCTCACAGTCAGTGCTTCTGACTGGCCGGGCGGCACACCGCATCTGAAACCATCACCAGCATCAGAACCACAAAGGACCACCGGGCCAATTGGTGGCACAACAAGGGAGACATCTTGGATCGGGTTACTCTCAGACACCTACTGACACAAAAGCAATCCAGAAACCAGCATGTGTCGTGGGCTGGGAGAGGAGAGAACAGAACCACTGGGGTGCCTGTAAGCTTCTTACCAAATCTGTGGATAATAAGCAGCTGGAAAACTGAGAACGATTCCACCAAAACCCACAGACTGGGACTGTAGCTGGCAGGGGGTCCAGGTTTAGACGGAGAATGGGATACTATAGCCACATGTGACATCCACTTTTATGTGTCCACTGACTATAGTGAGCGTGGAAATTTTAGAAGATGAAATCAGGCAGCAGTATAACTACCAGCTTTATGGAGGGATAAAGAGCAGATGAGATATCGTGCAGCGTGACACTGGTGAAGGTCATATTTCATTATAGGCACCGGCAGACTGTAACAGGTTTTAACACCCACACACAAACACAACTATAAATCTGTGCTGCAAACGTTTCACTTTATATATATATATATATACAGAGAGAGAGAGAGAGGCACATGCACATTTTAGGAGTTCATCACGTAAAAGAGAGCCAAGACAAAACATAAGTTCAGTGCAGTCTGAGCTACGGCCATGCATGCTTTTACCGGACTCACCACTGGAACCACAGCTGGGCATGCGTGACTGCACAGACTGACACGCCACACATTCAAACACACAATATCCAAGTTCACCATAAGAAACAGGCACCGCGAAGGATGAGGAGGACAGGCAGGAGGAGGACGCCGGCCACCACTGGCTACAGCACAAGCAGTACACCAGCACAGCACACAAAGCACTGGATCCCAGCAAACCTCTCAGGGAGAAACCAGGTGTTCAAATTCACCGTGAGGGGCGTGTGTTAGCCAAAATTAGAGCTTCTCATCAAAGCTGTGGAATAGGAGAGAAACCATCTACGTGTGGGCGACGCAGCTGAGAGGTTTGTCTGAGAGGGGGAGGCAGGCTGAGATAGGTGGTCAGACACAGCGGTCACTCACTGGGTGTCGTTTGGGGACGTCATAGACCCCCTCCTTCTGCTGACTGGTGGGAACCTACACGTTTGACCAACACATTCAGAGAGCAGCCAGAAGAGCCAGTTACCTCAGCATCACGGGACCGTTCCAGCATTTCAACACGGCCAACACAAATCCCTTCAGGAACCAGATCACTAGCTAGTCCTGCTTCTGGGTGTGGGCTGGGACGATCGGGATTAAAATCAGTCGCGTGAAGGCTCATCTGCTGGGTTGATAAAGGCCTTATCCAGCCTGCTGATCACAGCCACAGACATGTAATAACTCACAGTGTCACATATGTTGAGACATGTAATACCTCTCGTCACACGGCCAGATAGTTTTGTCTGTGTGACACAGATGATGTGATAGCATGGCGCTCGTTTGAATCATAACAGCTCCTATTGCTCCTCCCTCTGAAGGTCGGGCTCTGCTGTTAACTAATCAGTCTGAATGAAAAAGATCCTGCTGATGAAAAACGTGGACATCTATCCAGCACGTTCCTCCTGTCACTGCCTTGTTTACTTCTCTCTCATGTTTATTTCCAGAAGCTGCCATCTTTATTCCTACATCAGTCCCTCTGTGGCCGGAGGCAGGCTGGGGCTCACGTTGCTCGAGCCTGACGTGTAAGTCGGGATTTGCTTGTAAGTGTGTTTGTTTTGGTGCACGCGCCAGCACTTCCCCCTATTTTCAGTCTGTTTTATTTTCAATCTGTTTTATTTAAAGATCAAACGAGAAGCTGGTGATTACCCCCCCCCCCCCCAGCTTTCTTTCATCTCCTCGGGAAAGAGGAGAGGGGAGGTGCAAAAATGAGGGCCTGCCTTCCATAAGGGCCAAGAATAACCACTGCATCCCCTCCACATGCACCTCCCCCCCTTCATCCCTTGGAGGTGTAACTCGTTCTCGGAGGACTACACCCAGAGGACGAATCATCTCCCCAGACTAACTAGCGTTAGCTGAATCGGCACTTGGGAAAGCGTCGGCTGGGAGGTTTCCACAGATTTATAAAGTCTTTAATTTCCTGTATCCTCTTTTTTATGTGTTAAAAACAGAAGCAATTAATTTTATGTGCGGGCCACATTACATTTATCCCATTAAAGAGTAATGTAGCTCGTAGAGATCAGCCAGTAAATGAAGATTAAATCTTTGTAGCTTAAATGCGTTTAACTTCTCGTCAGCAGTTTGGCCACAGGAACTGTAGTTGAAGCTACATAAGACACAAGCAAACAAAATGAGCTTGTGAGTACCTGATAAATGCTCTCTTCTGATTGGTCACGGATGGGTTCGTGTCCCGCCTCAAACACAATGTACTAAAGCGTCAGCAGCAAAGAGAAGCAGGAGGAAAACAGGATCATAGAGAGAGAGAAGTGGTTAAGCTGTGGAGGTGATTAGCAAAAACAGCATCGTCAGTAGACTCCCATTAAAAGGCAGTTAAAGAACAGATCTAAGTGACTCGTGGAGACGACTTCAGGCAGCAGGAAAAACAACAAACAGTAGGAAACGAACACGTTTTAGCTGTGCATGCGCTCACTGAGACACAGACTCACGAACTCTCCTACACGAGAAAAACATCTGCACAACTACCACACCGAACCCAAACAGGAGCTGTCTCCCCACAGTGCACACACAGAGGAGCAAGCTCGAAGTGCAGCAGGTGACAGCAGCGATGTGATTGGTCAGGGAGTTACCTGGTAGACCGGGTCCTCCAGATCCTCCTCCAGGATTGTCTGCATACACGCGCCGGCAGGAAGGAGTGGGAGAGATCAAAAAGGGAGGAAAAAGAGAACAGAAGAGAGAAGAGTCGGAGAGTTAAAGAGTAGGAGGAAAGCACGGAAAGACCTCCCAGCATTCCAATAATCATTTAGCGAGTATTAGAGGAAACACGGGAAACAGAGAAATGAAACGGTGGACAGTGAAACATGCACTGTGTGTCACAGAATAAATCAAAAAGTAGGTGCTCCATCACTCCCTGGTATTTCAAGTCTTACCTGATAGGACCATTAGGAGATAAACCATAAAGGTGAAATCTTTAAAAGTACCTGGTAGACCGCCTGCTCACACTGCTTGTCTTTTTGGGCCTTCTTCTCCATCTCCTCCCGCTGCTTTATCTCATAAATGAGCTGGAACAGGTCCCGCAGGTCCAGAATCACTGGCTCAGCCTGGGACGACAAGAACCCATTATCCACACTGTACCCAACCAGAGCACAGGCCTCATCAAAAATCAGACAGACGCAGTAAATATTTACACAAGTTAAGAAGACATAGAAGAACCAGTGCTGCTTGGTGACAGAAGACCATTTTCTGCTTGAGTTGTGGGCATTGAGTTAACCAAATCATACAGGAGGAGCTTTTCTGAGCATGTGCACCACAAAGTTCAAACGCGTTACAAACTAAAGTTTTTTTAATTCTTCAAAGCACGATGTTAGATGCTTTTTATGAAACCGTTGGTTTATGTTCAGAGATTGTGGAATTATAGTCGTTTTGATCTAGAAAACAATGTTATAATTGTAATATATAACGAACATCCCCAGACCATCACCAGATTTCTGAAGGACTGAATTGAAGCCCAGTGGGCGGTTCCCACCTCTGCCATCGTGGCCATTGAAAGTGGGGATGTGAGGGTAGGGGCAGATGAGTGACACACATCAAACTCTGTGTCGGTGTAGCTACGAGCTAACAGAGCTAACCGAAGCTAACGGAGGGTGGCGGACGCTTTTAGCCAGAGAATCACAGTTGAGTGACTCTGCTGCCCTCTGCCTTCTAGACTGTAACTTTTAACGTGAGGCTGAGACCTTCCCTGGAGCAAGCGGGGGGGGGGGGGGCAAGCTAGTCTTGGGCGGTATACCGGGTCATACTAAAAACCAGTGTTTATTTTGGTTATGATATGAATTTTTCACATACCGCTATACCGGTGAAAGGCCTAAACAACGTACAGAACGTTCTTAGTAGGAAAGTGTTTCAGCGGGGACTCATTTCACTGCTACACACAAACACCACAGCGTGGTGAAACCAAGAATGGTGGCTGGCGGCTGGCGGGAGCTGTCACGGCGACATCAAAACTTCGAACGCAGAAGAACTTATTCCAAAAAGAGGAGCCACGTCTGTTGTTTGGAGGTTTTTCGGGTTTAAAAGTTCGGACGTGGAGCAAACAACTTTTATATGCTAATGCTGTCGAGCAACGGTGGTAGCCGGCGGGGGTAACACCAGCAACTTGCTTCATCACCTCAGCAGAAAACTCCTCTTGGATTACCAAGCATGTCTCAAGCTTCGATCTGCACCCTCCACCTCCAAGGCTAAAACGGCTAGTAGCAGTCAGAGTCAGACGTCCATTAAAGACGCGTTCGCTAAAGGGACTGTATTTAAAAAAAAGCAAGCGGTGGGTCGAGATAACCAACGCAATAACGATGGTTAAATCATAAAGATGGTTAACTGCACAGATTATATGCAAAATGTGTTCAATAAAAATAGTTTATTTTGACTGCAATATTTTATCGTTCTAGTAGTTTTTTCTTAACTGCTTTCTTTTGACAAGGATACTTTGAGGGGGTTTCTGCATTTACCTGCCTGTGACTGGACATGGAAAAACTGGTATTCTGCACATGAAGGTAAAACGGGCCATTCTAGTGCAGTAATTATTTTCTTATAAAAATAATCTGGGTAATCACGGCCTTGTGAAAAATACCGTCAAATACCGTAAAACCGATATCATTTTTAAAAATACCGTGATATGACATTTTTGCCATGCCGCCCAGGCCTAGGGCAAGCTGTTAACAGCTCAACTGCTACCTTTAAATCAAAAGGACACGCCCCTAATAATCCATTCGTTCAATTTCAAGCGTTGATTACATCTAAATGGATGAGTTACAAAACGATCCACTGTTCCTCAGAGTTGTCATGATGGTAAGCTAGATGTAACCAGGCTGTGAACATGCTTATTTCTGCTGTGAAGGTGGCTTTTTTAACAAGGGAGTCAGTGGGAACTGGTTCCTTTCTGAACCCAGCCCCTTGTGTTTCAGCCGCGGTTTGACCTCGCCACAGATTTAACAATATTGGTTTATGCGTTGAATTAGACTGACTCCTAAAGCCAGTCGGTCGTAAAAGTTTGAGTAATCGTAATCTGCAGGTTGTTTTCAAATTCGTCCAGTGGTTCACAAAATATTTTGCTAAAAGTATAAAAGAAAGAAATATTAACGCATACAGAAAAAAACCCTTTACTACAATAAATCATCATTTGTACAAATCGTGTCTGCACATTTGATTTATCTTCTGTAAAACAAAGAGGTTTATTACAAAAACAAGACGCTCTGGATTATTTTTTAATCTGGCTGTAAATCGTTAAAACAACACAACAGATCTTTCAGAATTAAATTGATTATTGAACAGAAAAAGGCTGATTATTATCTCAGAGTAAACAGGAAAAACAAAATGTAATTGGTTTGTTTAAAGTCTTTCATTACAGATACCGCTGCTCTGGACTGATTGTTCCCGGAGCCACTCAGAAATTGGAAGCTCTGGCCTGCGGTGAATAAATGTTACTGTCGGGATCTGAAAACCTGGTTAAAGCTCAAGAGCGCACGAGCAGACAGGGAACGAGGCACTGCTGTCTTATCTGAACAACAGAGAACGAGCTGTATTCCTCCACTGGATCGGGTTCAGACGGTGACATGAGCAGACGCCAGACTCCTGTCTTACCTTGAACCATCAAGAGACGAAACACTACAAACACAACTTATAACCACGGTTACAACTATGGCTGCTGAGTCTTATAGCTCAGCAGTGTTTCAGACCTAATCAATTATTGACTGGAGCTGTGCGGAGTGCACACAGAGTTCATAGACAGAAAACTGCTTTGCATAAAGTAGTTCTATTTTAGCGCCGACTTCCTGCGAGATATTCTTAGCTCTATTGCTCATGACAGACAGACACATTGGGGTAATCTTTTCCCCCCAGCTGAGCCAACACTAAAAGATATTGTCACTCTTTCAAAATCAAATCCACCTTACATTTGACAATAGAGCACATTTAAAAAGAGCATGTGAGCTGACCAAAGTGCTGTACAGGGGTAATAACATATAAGGTTAAAAGAATAATATAAAAGAATAGAACAGATAGAGCATAGCACAAAGTACCAAACAAGATAAGTCAGTAAAATAGGTAAAAGAATAGTGTAAATAAACCTAGATAAAGTAGATAGGCAGTAAAAGCAAGGCAATAAAAGTAAGTCTTTAAGCGAGACTTAAAATCCCCAATGGAGGGGAAGGGTCTGATATTCAACGGGAGATCGTTCCAGAGTTTCGGAGCGCAGACAGAAAAAGCTTGTTCACCACGGGTTTTGCAGCGTAGACGGGGAATCTGTAGTAGGTGTAGGTCACCTGAACGGAGAGTCCTGTGGGGTGAGTAACTCGGATATGTAAGGTGGTGCTAAGCCATTCAATGCCTTAAAAACAAACAATGAAAATTTTAAACGTATACGATAGTGCACAGGAAGCCAGTGAAGTCTTGCTAAAATTGGAGTGATGTGCTGCCGACGGCCCGTATTAGTCAGAAATCTTGCCGTCGCATCCTGTATCAACTGAAGGCGAGATAATGCGGCTTTTGAAATGCCAAACAGAATTGCATTGGAGTAGTCCAACCTTGAGGTGATGAAAGCGTGAATGGTTGTCTAGAGGTGGCGTTGATTCAGAATGGGTTTTAGTTGGGAAAGACGTCTCAGATGATAAAAACATGATTTAACCATGTGATTAACGTGAAGGTCCATTTTTAGAGCCACATCTATTTTAATTCCAAGATTAACAATTGTTTGACTAATTTTAAAAGGAAGAGCAGAAAAATCAGGAGCGGAGGAAGACGAGCCATTAGGAGTAAAAACAATAAACTCGGTCTTAAAATCATTCGGCAGCAAAAAATTTGCTGCCAGCCAGTCTTTAACCTCACTCAAGCAATCAAGGAGCAGCTGGATGGAGGTAAAAGTGTTCAAGGGAACATAAATCTGGCAGTCGTCCGCATAAAGATGAAAGTTGATGTTGAACTTCCTAAAGATTAGTCCCAGTGGAAGAATATAAATGCTAAATAAAAGGGGGCTGAGGATAGACCCCTGTGGCACGCCCCAAGGAAGAGCAGCAGAGGGAGATGAACAGTCGTCCATCCTAACTCTAATAGACCTGTTGTCAAAGTAGGAGCAGAACCAGTCAAGCGCAGATCCCTTAATGCCGACCAAATTCTCAAGGCGGGACAATAAAATGTCATGGTCCACTGTGTCAAATGCAGCTGAGAGGTCCAACATCACCAGGGCAACATGGGAACCGGAATCAGTGGCTAAAATAATATCATTAAAAACCCTGATGTGAGCAGATTCTGTGCTGTGATGTTGTCTAACACCAGACTGAAATGTATCCAAGACCCCAAAATTGTTCAGATGGGGCATGATTTGATTATAAACAGCCTTTTCCAACACTTTTGACAAGAAGGGGAGCTTTGAAATGGGGTGAATGTTCCCGAGGACAGTTGGGTCTAGGCCAGATTTTTTCAATAGTGGTTGAAGCACAGCATGTTTAAAAAAGGAGGCCATAATTCCTGAAACAAGGCTGGAGTTAATAATGTTGAGCACATAAGGGGCTACCACTGGAAGAACCTTCCGGAAGAGTCTGGCTGGTACAATGTCATCAGGACATCCTGTTGGCTTCATGGAAGATATTAATCTCTCCAGGGCAGGCAGTGTGATTGGCTCAAAACGCTCAAAGCATCCGGTACAAACAGATACGGGTAGCAGAACATCTCCGGGGGAAATGATTAGACTCCTAATATTGGAGACTTTGTCTAGGAAAAAACATAAAAATTGGGAGCAGAGATCATCTGTGATTGCAACCGTTGGAGAGTTATCAGTTGACAAATCTGCATTTAGGGTTTTATATAAAACCCTCTGGTTCCCAGAATGGGTAGTAATAATGCTGGCGAAGTATTTATTTCTAGAATTCCTGACTGCTCTCTGATATTCATCTAGCGCATTTCTAAAAAGTTCATGGGAAATGGATAGTTTATCCTTCTTCCATCTGCGTTCACACCTTAGAAGTGTTTTGTGGTAGAAACACGTTCAGAGCACGAGAGCGAACAAATCCTGACACGATTCATCATTTACTTTGGAGAGCCGTCACATTTATTT